AACGAGGCCGCAGGAAAGCCGTCCCCCCAATGTGGTTGCCCGTGGGTCTTTCAGGCTGGCAGGTTGGATTGGCTTGAAGCAAACATGAGGAAGGTGTCGCCGCATCCTAGGTCACCTGCAAGCCAATGCCCCAAATGCCACGCAAATGTCTCGCTATTTGGCCAATGCTCAGCACCAACAAGCAGCAATCTTAGAATGGGCCTGTAGTCCCCAAATCCAATGCTACAACGCGAAATGACTCGTGACGATTTCGGAATAAAAACCAGACCTGTCGGAGGTGCCTCACTTACCTGCTCATGCTAAAGGCATATGCCACCACACAACACACGTTGAAGAATTGCAGGATCCTGGATCAAGCAGGCAAGCTACGCTTCCTTCTCCCAAAGCCTGCCTGGGGCAATGCGTGCAGCGCAGACTGCACCATTGGAGGTGTCGTCCAGGCTTCGTTCTGGCTGGATCCATTGATGTAGTCACTCCTGAACCCACGGAAGGCTATCCCTATAGACAAACGCCCTCTTCAATGTGAACGCAGGCGTTTTTTCAGCCAAGTGCAAGTACGTACACATCATAACTGCTGGCTACAGCTAACATTCCAAGGTAGCTACTTTTCTACACATCCAAGCAGAGGAAGTCCGAATTCGGGGCGATTACATTTCGCACCCAATCATGGCCCCAGTTGGGGGAGAAATACGTTGAAATGGCCATGAAACTGCAATGGCTAATCTTTCCCTGTTGTGATTGCCAATGAGGACCCCTGTTTGCCTGCTTGACAGCAAGCGAAAGGCGTGTTTTTGCTCGGCCGAGCTTCAACGGCTGTCTCAAGGGCCCATCCACCACCAAGGGCTCGAAAGCGGAACTCTGCAACCTTGGGTCGCTTGACACAAGCTCAAGCGTCAAACCGGTCAAGCTTAATTGCGTTCCTCCCAGAGGAACATACTACTGGGTGCTTGGTCCTTTGGTGAGGAAGTAACTGATGTCGGAGATCAATCGGATTAGTGGGCTCCTCCAAATTGTTCCAAAGTTGGCGTCAAGCAAGCAATGACTAGTAATGACCAAGTCTGTTTCTGACAAACACGATGTTCGTTTTACAGCAGGGAAATCAAACATCCGATCTGGTACCTTTTGATTTGACCCCATTGAAATGCTTCCACGCGCCATGCTGCCAGCTGTCAAGATTCCCAACGGTACCTTTCAGGAATGGACGGCTTCCCTGTAGCACATCACCCGAAAAGAAAGCTCACCCTTGTTGGAAACCAAGCAGGGCTCGCACGACCCCACCATGCCAAACTCTTGCCTCCCCAAACGCCATCCCAATAAGCGGAAAAGCCGCCCATCAATGCCAACCAGGATGTTTGAACTGGTTGGCAGGAGAAAATGTGGGGGCAACGCACTGCACCAAGTGACCTTGAAACCCATCGTTTGAGGGGACATGTAGGGAAGCCCGCTGGAATGGTTGAATGACAAATTGTATATTGGCTGGCATAAATCCCAGCGTCGGAAGAATGCCCCTTTCTATCTCTCTCTCCCTCTCTCGTTTGTTCTCTCTCTCTCTCTCTTTCTCTCTCTCCCCCTCCCTCCGTTCGTGCGGGCTGCTGAATTACTCGTCCGTGAAGTTCGTAGAGCCCCACCCCACGCTTCACCATGCGCAGGCCTCAGCTGCTTCATGGCCGCTCTTTGCAGAACTTGACGGAGAAGAATCCTAGCGAGGCCTGGCGTTCAGCTCTTCCCAATACTGCATGAGGCAAAAACAACTCCACACAACAAAACGCATTCTCTCACACGCCATGCCGATTTAACCTGCAGCCACGCGGACTCGCGCCCAATACTCAGCTTAGGCGGGATGTTGCCACTAGCAGGTTGCAAGCAGCTAGCTGGCAAGTAAACAGGTCATTGCGCCAGATAGGGGAAATCGAAACGCTGGTTTGAATCCCCAAAATGTATGGCTTCGCACTGGTTTCACTTCGAAATATTCCAAGAGTAAGATAAAAATGAGCCATCCAAAAAGCACCCCGCACTGCCGCTGTTTCCCCTCTACCCAAAAAGGGGAAGGACCTTCCATACATCACTCGTTTTGAAGCCCCACCAAGTCGGTGCGCGGTCATTGTTCGGTCCCGGCGGCCCGGCCGCTGCAGCTGGAACCGCCGTACTGCCGCGTCCAGCCGCGCCTCCTCCGATCCGCGCTGCATCGCGCCCGACCGCTGTGCGGCCGTGGAGCAAGGGGCGTGGGGCGAGGGGCGTGGGGCAAGGCTCGGTTTAGACTTGCTCAGGCTGGACCTGTTGCGGACAAAAATCTGTAGCGCCGCTGCTTCTGATGGGTGCCGAAGCAGAGTCAGACTGGATGCCCTGTGCTGCTTTCAAGCAATGACTGGCATGCTTCCGCCCTGCAAGGTTCATCGCTTTTCTGCTTGGCTGCAGGAACTTTCGCGGTTCCTCCATGTGCTGGCTCAGTTCCTCCATGTTTGCTGGCATGCTTGGACCGGAAGCATTGCGAAGGCATCAAGTCAACCCGCGACGTGCATTTTCCGCATGTGAGAGCCAGAAGCTAAGTTTGACCCGTGAGCAATCCCAAGGGCCTAAGTCCCTCCGTGCGTGAGTCATAGGGCCTCTCTTGACCTTGCTCGACAGGATATTCCTTAAGCCAGGCAGCCGCAAAAAAGCAATGAAGTAAAACAATGGGGGGGTTCCCAAACAAGGCTGAACAGGCCATGGCATGCCCAACAGCCGGGAGCCAAGCTGTGAAGATCCTGACTCCTTGGACGCCCTGTTCGGGAAAGGGACCCTACGAAGCAGAGCAACGAAAAGCCCTGCAAAGACGGAACCCTGGGCAAACATGGCAAAGAGGGAACAGCTACCTCCAAGCAAATCATCATTGACTCAAGCAGGCCTTTCACTCGCAAGAAGTGGAAGGGCAATTTTCACCAGGTCAAACAGGGGCTCAAGGAAAACAAACTGAAAATCACCAATTCTTTGGGGTCCCTTGAAATTTTGGGAGGGCCCATGACTATTTCGAGCCCATCCCTTCGCGACCAACGGCCGCCCGGCATCCTGGGCCCAAGGCCCGCTTGACAAGCTCCTCGTTGCGGTGCCTCGGTGTTCGCCGCCAGAGGCTCCGTTTCAAGGAGGAGAGTGAGCCCTGAATAGCGCGCTGACCCCAAAAAAGCCTCCAAACGAAAGGGACCTTCACATCGAGGATATCTGTAAGGCTTCATTCTGGTGTTTGAACCGCACCTGCGGCCACCTGCAGCCTGAGTCCCTTCCAGTGTGCATCCCAGTGGCTTCAGCTCAGCTTTTTCTCTGCCTGCCAGCGCACTGGACTGGGCACAGCTTGACGATCAGCTGCCCCGAAGCTATTGGAATGCGGGGTTGGCTGCCTATGAAATGCACTTTCATTGCCGACTTGGAGGATGTTACTTCCGGAAAACAACTCTATCAAGTTTCAGTGTTTGCTTGCTTTCTGCAAGCCCCTTCTTCAGTACAGTACCCTTGCCCTACGCAAAGTCCAACTGAGCCGAAAAATGCAAACATTGGTTGCGTGCGCGGTACGCAAAGTTGCTTTTTGGCAGCTGCAGCTCAAACAATCAGCCACGCGAAGTAAATAGTTGTTGGTGGCTCAACCGCAACTTGCCGGTAGACAGCGCAGGTGTGGTATGCGAAGGGCGCATTGGCAGCTCCCGCCAGAAAAACAAAACAATCCGTCGCACTTGTGGGCAAAATACACGTTGGCAGCTTGAAAACCAATATCACAATCCCAAATGATTCACACACACCAAAACTCCAGGGGCATAGGGCAGACTTCTGGTGGCTTCAAACAAGGTCGTTTCAACGTCAGAGTGTGGGCAAACTGTGTAAGCTGTAAGCAGCCCAGTGACTCTCCGATGATTCTTCCACAAATTTCCTCTAGCCAAGCCCCGCGTCCTACTCATTCAACCAAAATATGTCTACTGTCCAATTCCCATTCCAAGCAAACTCCATTTTCTCCAACTCCAGACTGGCTCAATGAAGCCCCAATGAAAGCTCAATGTGCCCCTCAACTGCAAGTCACAATTCATTCCAATGAATTTCAAACGAACTCAAACAACATTCCAGTTTTGACGCACGTCGTGTCAAAACAATGTTGAGCAGATGGAACCACAGTTTGAACTGGCTTCATTCAACTAGCATCGGTTTGACATCCAACAAATGAAGCTAAAAAAAAATGGGATTGCATTAAACTGTCGCTTGATCACCAACCACTCAACCAAAGCAAGAGAGCTCAGTTGTGACCGCTCGGATCGGTCCAGTAAACTATATAGACCCGATCCTCCAGCCGCCACCCGCCACCCGCCCGCCTTCCAGCGAAACTCTCTGAAATTCTGCCTCCAAGTTTTTCTTCAACGCCTTCCGGGCACCGGCTCAGATCCATTGCACCAGGGTCTGAGCCAACTCTGAATCCAGCCCCCGGTGAGCGAAATTGCGAACTCGACGCTCAGAAAGCTGGCGGCACGCCCAGTTGCGTAAAAGTGTGCACTGGTTTCTTCAAATGCTGGTTGAGATGGTTGGTGTGCGTGCGCCTCATGTGGCAAAACGCACAAAATCCAACTTGCCTCGTAGTCTCGGGACTTCTCATCGTAGCGCATCTTCAAGCTCCGAAGCACTTCCTTGGAGAACATAGCGCGGCCCAATCCGGCCTACAGGTACGTGTTACAACACGTGATGCAGTTGAACTGTTTCTTTTTTTGATAAACAAGTGTTTCGCGCACTGCAGGGCCCCCTCTCTACAAGCACCCCTCACGCGCCGGCCATCCACTTTTCCTCGCTGCGAGCAACAGAGCGCCGCAGCATACCTGGCGCAGCAAAGAGCATCCTGTATCCCCTGAGGAGGAAGCTCGTCGAAACTCCCGGACAGGGGACGGCGGCCACAGGATCAAACATCGTCAAACTTGCTTTCCTCTTGACATCCAGTCGGGCCCCCTGAGGGTTGCAAAACCCTGCGGCAATGCGACGAGACGCGACCTCCGGCCTCACTGCCCTTCGCGCTCGATGCCTCCGACCCAAAGCTGCGCCGGGTGTATCATGCGATGCGTCAAAACGAGAGGCTTCCCTGTGCTGAAGATGCGTAAAACAACTGAAAAATGCACCAGTCGAGGCCATCCCCTCTTGGAGCCAGAATCACCTACCAGCTACATGGTGACTAGTAGTGGGCATCCAAATCGAACCCTAGGGCCTCTGGCCCGAGCCAAGTGTAGTGTGGACGCTTGGGACAACTTACGAAGCCCTTCTGAAGGGCGCCCAAACACATGGCCCACTGAAACTGGGCCCAACTTCCCAGCTATGCTGTTCTTCCATTGCTTGCCGCATTTGCCACTGCCCTTGTGTTGAAGGTGGGAATGCATCAAGATGTTGGACTCTTTTAGCAAGTGCTATTCCCCGGTCTGCGAAACAACCTCTCCAGATTGCTTGACCCATTCACCTTTGTATCCAGCAACTGTCCTGGCTGAAGTGCTGGCGGCGACCATCTAATCTTAAAAGTTCAAGAGTTTGCACTTGGAGGCAAGCGCAAGCACCGCAAACCGCTTTCGATCAAAAATAAATAACGTTGTCATGGCCGACGCGTTGCATACCCACACGTCTGTCTCAGCCCACGGTCCTTCTGCCAAGAGGCCCGTGTTCAGCTGTTTCCGTGAATGTCCCTCCCTTATGCGGTGGGGTTTTGAGCGGGAACGATTCTTGGAGCAACGCCCATGCAATTTCAAGCCACAGCCAGCACCAAACCCGCTCCGTTGCCTGCGTTGCCCGATAGCGCTGCAGCCACGGCGTAGGCCCAAAGACCAGCAGAGGCAGACAGCGTCTCCTGCTCAGCTCATCAAGCGATGTCGACGTTCTGACGGGGGTGTTAATGTCATGCTTCCAAACCCTGGTGAGGAAGTCAATTTGTGAATCACATGTTTGTCTCAAACACCTGAAGCTTACCCTGGGCTGATGTCCAAGGTGCTGCAAACACGTTGAAACTGAGAATACCTATGCCGCCTATGCCTCAAGTATATAAATCCTTCGGATCCTATCAGAGAAGCCCGCGTCATACTGCCCTGTTTCAATCCCGTCCGCATCCGACAGCCTTCCAACTTTGGAGATGGAGGCCCCAGCCGTTGAATGTATCCAACCAAGGGAAATGGCCCATAGGAAGCTTCACGGGTCCAATGAACCTCCGGGGCCTCGTGGGGATCACGCCGCTCCCTTCCCAGAGTGCTCTAAAATGGTTGGCCGTGTGAGTGTGCCTTAAGCTCGTTTGGGCTTCGCTGTAGAACAGCCCTCAGGCTGCAAAGCGGGGCCCGCCAAGTCGCCAAGCCTCGCACTCTCTTTTTTAAGGGTACTCTCGTTCGTCTTTTAGTTTGGGGAGAGCTTTTCCGTCGCTTTCAGGTTGTTTCCGTCGTGCGCCTGGTTGAAGCGTCGCATGGCCCGAGCCACCTGCGCCCAATCGGACTTCAAGAGCTGCAAAAGCTCCGCCACACTGCCGAAGCCTCGCTGAGGAGAATTCTCTGATAAGAACCGGGTGCTTCGCAAAAGCGACCGCTTCCTCCACAAGGTCGGTTTGTTTTGGGCTTCCTCCCAACAAGGGGACCCAAATAGGGCCGCACGCGCAACCACGGGCAAACTGGTTTTGTTGCCTGGGCTTGAATCATGATTTCCTCTCGTTTCCCACCACACTGTAAGATAATACGGCTACTGGAAGCACTGGATGCATCATAATCTATGTGGAGCCGACCAGGCCAGAATCCCATCATAGCGTCTCATGTTAACTCGGCAGGTACACCCTCAGGCCGCTGCAGGAGAGCCGAACTCGCATACCCCCTTAAAACACACCCCAAAAGGGTATGCTCAAACAAAGAACCGCAGCCTTTGTTGAATTGATGGGCCCGAAATGGGTTGAACATCCTGCAGCCCACTCCCACAGAGGGACAGCCTAAAAGTGTAGGAGTGTAGGAACTCTTTTTGGGGGAATCCCCTTTGCTTTCCGACAACGGCAGTTTTTGGGGGGTGGGACAAAGCATTTGACCATCTGCCCCAAGGAATAATGTTGATTTCGAACTGTATCAGCTTTGATGTTTCTTGCTTCTGGTGAACTCGGACACTGGAACCATAATTTATACGGCTGTTTGGTGTCATGTTTGAAGAGGGACCATGAGGAATGCTACCGGTGCCAAGATGGAAGCAGCGCAGCCTTTGCGAACCTTGTAACTCCCTCTATGCCCCTCCCCTTTCCCTGATCCCAATTGATTGGCTGGCACAAGCATGTAGGCTTCAATTGCTACTGCGCTCCGCAGCGATTTCAACACCAAAATGTGCGCGTGAGCATGAACAATCATAACAATGACAGGTCCTGTTTTTCTGGGGGGCTTCAAAGAGTTGAGGTTGACTGAATACTGCGCCGTGAGCTGCAAACGTGGCCGGGATGAGCACCGACTGCGTGGCGAGGAACGCAAGATGTGCGGGAACTGGGCGAAGTCAGTGCCTCAGCCGAGCCAGGTGCAAGGGAACCGAAGAGATCCATCAACTTCAACCCAGAAAGTCGCCCCAATGTTGGGGTTTCTTATTTGCACGTGGTTCGGGTAGTTCAAGTTTGGTCCAACTATTCTGGGGACAGCCACACACGAAGCAAAGGAGGCTTGCAAGGCTCGACAACTGCGACAACTGCTTATTTTTGTCAAAAACGGGCACGCATTCAACAATGTTTGAGCTGCCTTTCGTTCACGCAATTCAACCCGTTTCAAGGAACCGGGTATTTTGACACCAGCCTGCAAAGCTCGGCCTGCCAATTCAGACAGGCGGCGCAAGCTCCATGCCGCAGAGGCCTCAAGGGCAAGCATCTGGGTATTTGAAGGATACATTTGGCCATAGTGAAACCAGAAAGCCGGCTTTGTCAGCACCAGGTGATCCTGAGGTGTACCCTGTACGAATCCACAGCTCTTTGGGGTCCTTCCAGTCCTTGCAGTCTGTCAAAAGTTGGCCCACATGGACTGTGGAAGAAAGCCTCCAACAGCTTGACCAACAGTGATGTTCGAGCCCACCCCAGGAAATATGCAGGGGACTCCTCAAACCAAATGGTTTCCCTTTGCTTCCTCTTAACTTAAGCTCAAAAAGGAGGATGCCTCAAAATTTTGGTGGAGGGTACCTCCAAGAGTTAGACAGGCCGCGTGAAACCATTTGGCCGTGTCCATGGGCGGCACAAAGGGCGGCAGCCCCACCCCAACGCCAGGGAAGAGCTGGCCACCTCACCGCGGGGCTTCGGTGAGGAAGTCTGGCAAGGAACAAAATGTTAACCTGCAAATCATGGTGTAATTTCTGCTACCTGATGGCGGCAAACCTGGAAACTGTGGTGTTCAACACTTGAATGATGGGGGTTGCTGGCTGAAACCCACGCCCCAAAGGGTAATGCTGCGAATCGAAGGCCAGTAACCACAAGGCGGCGTTCACCTTTTTCTTGTCGTGACTCCTTGGGTCTACTAACATGGTCGCAATGGGTTTTGTACTGGCCTCATTAAACTCTCGGTTGAAACCAGCTGCTCAAATTGCCCAGGTTTGGGCGCTCATGTGACTTGAATGCCCAGGGCCGGGGCTTTGGTTCCGCACGTAGTGGTACTCCGCGCCGCTGTGGAGCCCGCGGAAGACGAAGAAGGGCAACAGCTTCAGGTTGGGCATCAGCAACGGCATGCCTAAAACAAGAGGCATCAGTCCAGCCAACCCCAGCCCGGCACTAAGTACTGGCATTCGACGCCGTGCTACCTCCCTGGCCCACATCTTCACGAGCGCGAAAGGAACAAACTCCCTCCATCCGAGGTGCACATGGAATACAACTCATAGAATATGGCCAGGGCCACGTCGTATGGGTACATCCTGAGATGCATTCTGCAGGGCGGCAAGACACGTAGAGTTGCAGGGGGAGTTGGCCGGTAAAAGCGAGCTTGCTGATGCAAGGTTGCTGAGAGGCTTGGCTCAGCACTGTCTCCATTTCAAACATTTCAAAAACAAGACACGCCGCCTACGACCCGTGATTGCCAAAGCCAGACCCAACCTCAACCCCAGCCCCGAAGTCATTGTTTTCCGGTTGCAGTCCACCACCCCCCAAAGTTGACCCTCCCCACCTCCCTCAACAAAGCCGCAGGTGCTTCTTGTTGGCAATATGTCCCTATCCTTTACGTTCATTGTCTTGCTAGTCAGTTCGTAGGGGAGGGTCACCATCCAAAACGTGAAGAGGGCTTCAAAGGTCACACCAAATGGCAACCAAAATGGGGTCAAGACTATTCAAGCTACCCGACCCTGACGGCAAACGCTGCCCAGGTGCACAGTGGCTTTGAAGGAAACTAGCACCTGGCCCAGAATGGCAAAGGCCCGGTAGAAAGACATGAGGAATCCTATCTACCTTTCCACCGGTCTTGTGTTGAAGCCTTGGGAGCAACTTGTTCCTTTAGCACACGCCACAAGTACAGAATCTGAGTGCCTGGCCTGCCCATTCACCATCGTTGCCGAATGCAACGCTGCTGTAAGACAACCAAATCACCGACCCTCCAGGAAGCGCATGTCTGCACCAACTGCTGTGCGCACGCGCTGGTGCAGTTCATGCTAGTCTTTCCTATCATCCCCAAAGTCACTCGCATGATTGCTCAGAAATGTTCCCAGCATCACTTTGAAAGGTGCAACTGCAGTTGCTTGAAACTGGATTGTTCAAACTTCGAGATACCCAGCACCAGTCATGTGGCCAGCCCAAACGTGGCACCATTGCCTCGTAGGGGGCGCCTCCCAGCTCGTCCAGGCCTTTGAACCTGGGCCAAGCCACAAACAAACAGAACAGAAGTCCAATAGACGAGTAAGGAAAAAAAACGGCAGAGCACAAGCAAGAAAGTAAGCACACAAGCAAGACACGTCCAAGCCAGGAGAAGCTTCAAACGTAAGTTAAGTATGCCCACCGTCCTTTTCTCACTGCATACTAATGTGAAGCATCTGTCTCCACAGTCTCAGGAGGTCACAACTGCTTTGTGGAGCTCGGGGCCTGCCCCTGGAATAGGCCTTTGGCCCTTCCCAACCCACCCTGCCAAGAGCGAAAAGATGCATGTTCTTGTTGCATGCCTGAGCTTTGCAAGGCAGAGTGAAACGCGGGCCATAAATGGAGCGAAACATGCGCAGCAAGTCAGTAGGCTCCTAGAGCCATGGCGCACTGATCCGCAGCTGCCCTTACGGATTCATGCGGATCGCTCCTCAGCATCTCCACTTCCATGAGGAACTCTTTGCCTCATCACTTCCAGCAAAGGGAAAAGAGCGTGCTAAGAAGTCCCCCTCACGACAAACAACCCAAAGGACTGACAGACTAACAGCTCAGGATCTGCAACAACTAGCGGCCAACATGTTTGTTGGCTTTACTCCTGTGACTCATTGCGGCTGCCCTTTCACGCCTGCAACCAGTGCAAGCAGCATTATTCTGCCGAATTGTTCATGTTGTCTCTGAAGACAACTAGACTGAGAGTCCCGAATGAACGTGCAAGCCAATTTGAGTAACACCATGCCGTCAACTGTAAAACCTCAAGAAAACCTGGGCACCGCCTGCTGAAATTTAAAGATTGTTTCCAGGAATCAGGAAATGGAGGAAACAAAAAGTGCAGGGTCCGGTGCTAAGGCTATGCTGACAACACACACCAAATTGTGTTCAATTCCTCCGCCTACCATTGCGAGCGAAACGTATGCACGTGTTTTTTTGTTGCTTGGGTGGAACGACGCACAACCACCGTGGTGAGAATCCACATGGCCCGCCATTCAGCTGAAGTTGCCATCCTCCCCGAAGGCCGCGAAAGCCTTGAGCGCAGCTTCTCGGACGCAAGGCTCCTCCGCCTGATCGGACCCCCTCAAACATGACACTTGCAGCCAACACCAAGCTGGCCGGGAAAAAAACGGCCAACATGCTTTGGGGGCCGAAAGGCCCCCAAATTTGAGGGAGTGGGTGCGGACGCGGTGCCACAGCTAACTCCGTGAAAGTGGGTTGCCTTTTGGCGCCCCGCATCTAGGATACACACCTCACAAAGTGACAAGCTAGAAATAGAAACCTGAACTGCCTGGCCCCAGGCAAAGGACTCGCAAGCGAACAAATGGCTTGGCCTGCTCTTTCAAAAATCCGGCATGCCAACCGCCAGGATAATTAAGCAGGGGCCGTCAGTGGACACTGCATAAAAGAACAGCCGATTTGCTAAGATTGGGCAAGCCTGCAGACATGGTTGCCACTTCAAAGCTTAGGCACGACTGGCGCAGGAACGCAAAGGCGATCTACCTGTGGGAACACCGATGTCTTTCCATCTGTCTGACAACAACCCAAACTACCATGTCCTGAACGCAGTCCAGATTTGGATACCCCCAAATGGTTCCCTTACTTGGGTGTTTCTCAAAAACCACCGATGCTTGAACCACCCACACAGGATTCCATGGGTTTCTCTCCTCCCAAGCCGCCTCGCCTGGAAGCAGCCCGCCACCTCCGGGGCAAAGCCCGAGGCCTCCATGGCGCCCAGCGTTTTCAGGGCGCTGCACCTGCCGTCGGTCCAAAACGCCCCAAGCTCCGTCGGGGAAGCAGCGGAAAAACCGAAAGGGAGTTGTGGCGAAAAACATGTCGATCACTGCAGCTGAAGGTCAAAGATAAATGTAAGATGGGACCAACCGCTGGAGGCTGGGGGCCTTTTTGGATTTGCCGGTTGCTTCGGGAGGGTTTAAAGGCAGAAGGGCGGGGAGGGGGAGGGGAAGGCGGATTTTGCCAGGGGTTGGAAGGGGGGAGGACGGCTTGGGCATTGACCGGGCATTGACCGGGCATTGACGGTTGCAGAGCGGCGGCCTTGTGGCTCTTTCTTGGCAAAAAGGTTGCGTCATGCAGCCCGGCCCGTGCCCACATTTCTTTCAGTGAACTTGGGGCATGTTGGAGTATGTTGGAGTTACACCGCGATGTAGCACTCGAGCGAGCACATCATTGTCTCTGCCTTGTTGAGGGTTCTCCTTTTACATTTTTTTCATGGAGGCGATAGGCGATAGGGGTTCACCATTTGCAGACCCACCCACTTCGTGGAGGTTCAGCAAAACGCCAGATGTTGCGAGCCTCACCAGGCTGTGCATCGCCGCCCTCGGCTGGTTGCCAGGTTCAAGCTGCCTCTGGGCTGTTTTAAATGGAACGTTGGCTAATTTGATTTTTCCGCAGTCCCGACAGGGAAATGACTGCAAATGGCAAACCCTTAACCCAGGATTGCCTGCAGACAGGCAAAATACAGTAGCCGCCGAGTCACTAGCACCGCAAACGATGCAAAACTGACATGCCGAAGCACTTGGCGGCTACTTGCACCAAAGTACATGGAGGGCAAAGTCAACCATGCCGAGAACATGTGTTCACTTTCTGATCTTTGGGAACTCATCTCAAATCTCTACATACACATAAGTATTCTAATCTCGTGCCCCTGACTCGGTGCCCTGTTCTATCCCCTGGTAAATATGCTGAACTACTCCGTTCTATATTTGGGACCTCTGTGATACAGCTGGGCCCTTCCCAAAGCAAGCCCATGAACCTTGCAATTTTGAAGAGGAACGGCCAACAAAGCATAAACAGGGTCAACAAGTCGAGTAGGTCAACAAGTCGAAGCCCTCCGCAGAACTTGCCCAACAACTCTCGGCAAGAATCACACCTCACTGGTCTGCAAAACCGGGCATCACAGTGCGGCCGCGCCCTGTCCCCTACCAACCTTCCGCTACCCACATTACCCGAGATACCCAAGTTTGATCTTGGCTCACATGAATGAGCCGCTGCGCGGCCATCGGCTTCACTTCTCAATGCCAGGTTGCTGCGTGTCAGGGGCTGCCAAACGGCACACGGCGCAGGCGTAAGCATGACCTGAGACGGAAATCCGCCGAAAACAGGTCAGCCTGCACCGCAAGCATGAAAAGAGCTCCCCCCATTGCAAAAAACCGCCTGACAGAGATGATCATCTTGCAACTGCCTCACCCAGCCAATGCTGCGAACCCCTCCAAATGCCCCGGAAACATGTCTTGTCGTGGCCTGCATCCATCTGCCTGACGCAACCAACATACTATCTAGGAACAGTAACAGGGGCCCAGAAAATTCATCCATCCCCTGTTTTTACTTCACAATTCGCAATGGTGATGGCTAGACAAAATTATTTCTATGTTGGCCAGTGCTTCCTGCCCAGCCACTCTCCTGACCACACTGGCCTAGGGCTTCCAGAGCTGCTGCTTGCACTGCAGGCACCTCTGCGAGTTCCGTTCCACTCAGCTTTAATTACACCAGGGTGAGCCACCCAAAAAGGTTCACGGGCAGGGGAAATTCACCAATGGAAGAGGAAAAGTTGACGCATGATCTAGGTTCTTGCCCCCTACTTCTTAAGTCGCCGCTCCTTTTGGGGCATCCCCTTTTCGGATTCCAGCTCAATTGACACCCACCAAGCAAGTGCCAAAAGCAAGGATGCCAACTTGCCTTCGAGCCATCGTGGTACAAACTTGCCAGTTGAAAGATCATGCGTCCAACCGTGCAACCCTCCACAGGGACCGCTCCCCGGCTGACAAAGCCGCAAAGCTGAAATCTGTTGCTTGCCAGTGGGCTGAGTCGTCAAGCAGCACGGCCAAGGTGTCTACATATAGCGCCGCATCCTGTCCAGGGCAGTCATGAGCCACCCGCAATGGAATGAGCATGGGACATTTAGACTTCCGTCCCCCTTATTTCTGCAGAAAGTCGTGGGTCCCAAATTGATCATAGGCTGCTGGCTCTTGTAACCGAACCTCACAGGGAACTTGACAAACAACCGCTTGACGAGGACTTGGGCCATCCCCAGACTGGGCACTTTCCAAGCACTGCCTAGAAGAAACTGCTTCCTTGAGCCCATGCTTGTTAAAAGCCATTCTAGCGGCCCTGGACACTCGACTGGGCACATGTCGGCATCATTGCTTGCCTGGCCGCAAACCGTCATAGCGCGCACCCAGCTTTTTGTTCGCAGATCTCGAATCGCAAAAGGCTTAAGCTACTCCCTGGCATGCGATACTCATGAAGGGCAGCATGCTTACGGCTACCCCTAATAATAGCTTCGGTTTTGACCTCGTGGTCTCTGCGTTTGGAGCCACAGGCAAACCCTATGTTCGGCAAAGGTCTAGCATGGCATGCGATTGAACAGGCCTGAACAACTTGGAAAAGGGCATTTTAATTTCCCAATGCTCAAATCAACCGTGCTTGCGAACATCCAGCCATGTGCTATTGGCGTCGCGCGCGCGTGTTCTTTGCGGAGCCGGTGAAATCTACGATTGCAGCATGCCAGTCGCCAGCAAACAGGCCATGCGGGCCCAGTTTTAGCATGGCCCACCCCCGCAACAGCATGCAACTGCCCGCGCAAACGGGGATGAACATGACATGTGCTACCCGAAACAAACATGGTAACACTTTCGAATCACGGCGGAGGGGTTGGGCCCACTCACTTTGGAAAATAATGTCTGGGAATACATAAAGTCGACACGCCGGTGACAAAACAACACGCCGCTGCCAGTACGAAGGCTGCGTTTGGGTGAAGTCGGCCGCCCACTGGCATGGTCAGAGACGCCTTGGGCCATCAGGTTGGAACATGCCACAAGCCAATGGCCCGCATCGAGCGACGCTTGCCTCCTGGGTGCAACTAAACCATGGGGAGACAGAACTGGGGACACTCACCTTTGCAGTTGAACAGCCCGTGTGGCGACGGAGTGGCAGATCTACCCCAATTTCGACAACTCTCACCAGCATGAACGAAAGGATCCCCTAGAAAGTCACTGTCATCATGAGCGAGCTCGTGTCAAGCCCAGGTGAGCGTGCCCAAATTCGCGCAGAGATGAACCTGTCTTGCCAAGCTGCTGAGAACACGCCTTGGAACACTGGCGGTATGGTGATGACAATCCTGAGCAAGACAAGCTGTAAGAGCCGAAACTGGGCCCCCAACGCAGCTACATCAACCCTTCTTTTGGTTTTGACCCAAAGGGGTGCCAGGGACAACAGCTGAATTCCTATTGGATCCGATGTGCCATGGAATTCTTAACCAACACACCGCCAAACCCAAAACCAAGGGCATGTTTGTTGGCAAACCGGACATCATATATCAAACATTATTTTGACTCCCAGCTGCAGGGAGGAAAGCGCCTGCACAGCTCCCAATGCCACTGAGGGCGTCATGCCCGGGACCTCCTCAGAGACTTGCCTAGGTTGCTCGGGCCAAAAAGCCAAGACCTACTGCAGATCCGATCCTTTCACCCATTCCCTTGCCTTTACAAGACCTGCTTGTTGCAGAGGTGCAGGAATCTATTTGGGACCTTTGGCGCCCAACGCACGAATGTGGGAATTACAAAACGCTACTTGATAGCCCATTGTTGGGCTGTTCGTACCAACACCAAGCAAATCCGAGGGAATGCGTCGCCAAGAACAGGGGACCCCTTCTCGGCTTGAAATTTGAGAAGGTATCCCTTCCCAAATGACGCCAACCACTTGGACCTTTGGGAAATGAAGAAACCCCCCATATCTCGACCAAAGGTAATTAATTGGTTTCCTTTTGGCTGTTTGAAACCCAAAGCCGCAAAAGGATCCAACAAAATCCACCATTCAGAGGAACACACACACACACAAAAAAAAAAAAAGAAGAAGAAGAAGAAAACGTTCCACACCTTTCAAACAAGCTGCGACATCAGCGCTTGGAAGGTGGGCCCGCCCAGGGTGCTGAGCCCCGAGATGGACTGCAGCAGCAGCAGCGCCTCGAAGGAAGGCGCCAGGGCCAGGGCCAAGAGGTTCACCGTGCCGAAGGACAGGGAGAAGATGAAGAGGCCCCGCGTGCCCAACTCGGCGAGCGAGTTGGGTCTCTGTTGTGAGTGTTGGGGTGTGTTGCTTGCTGGTTTGGGGTGGTCTGTTGTTTGCGGTGGTGGCGGAAAAAGCGGGGCTTGCAGTGGCCCTTGGAAAAGCTGGCAACTGCTCGAGGGGTTGGCGGTCAAGCTGTGTCACCCTTCTGCGCTTTCCATTGTTCAGTGCCGTTTCTACAAGACGTCATCATAATACGTAAGAATAAAAGGGGCATACCAAGGCACAGCTGCCCTAAAATTAGAAATTCGAGTGTGCCCTCATCCATACTCATCCCTGTTGCCTTCG